CATCATCATCATTACATCCTTTCATAAGTCCACTGCTGAACATAGGTCTCCCCCAAGGATTGCCACAAAGCACGGTCCTGAGCCAACTGCATCCATCGACTTCCTGCATGTCTTACCAGGTCGTCACTCCATCTAGTGGGGGGTCGTCCTACACTTCGCCTACCGGTACGAGGCTGCCACTCTAGAACCTTTCTTCCCCATCGATTGTCGAACTGGAAACGAGGCATTCCTTATAAGTCCTCAGGTGTTACAACGCATCTGCATTTTGATTCTTTATCGAAGATAAAGTTTATGGGCCACAGCATCCATTTACCATCAGGTGGACTGCGTGCTTGTTTGTTATTCTATTAAAAAAAATTATTTTCTTATTACATGAAAAAATAATTAAAACTTATTTTTATTGAATTAAAATAAACCTTAAAATACAATGGGACGCAGCCATATCCAAGGGATTCTTATTAATTTTAATAACATCGTTAATCATACGTTTAATTTATTATACGGTTCGTTAATTATACGGTTAATTTATGGCCAAATACTCAAACGCTACTCATTTTAAGATGTCCGTTAAGTCTGGTGGTGTCACAGTCACTTTGACTTAAAGTGATAGAGACAGCAGCATTTAAGTATTTGGGCATTGGCCACATTATTTACTCTTACTCAAATTTTACTACAGTTAAAGTTACATCCTATACACTTCCCACTGCTGGGCACAGGCCTCCTCTCATTTCTGAGAGGGTTTTAGTGCAAGGAAATGTTCGCCGTACTGCCTCAATGCGTGTTGGCGAACTTCACATGTCTTCGAAATATTTATTTTGTTATTTCTCAGACATGCAGGTTTCCTCACGGTGTTTCCTTCACCGCCGAGCACTTGGTAAATCACCACTTAAAATTGCAATTAACAATTTCATTGGTGCCGGCGGGGATCAAACCCGGGGCTGTCCGCGTACTGTGTAATTTACAGCGAACGCTTAGCCCCTGACCTACCTTAAAAAAAAACGTTACGTCCACACTAGGATTTTCTCCTGTATCTTTGGGGTTACAAACATAAATTGCAGAACAAACATCCAGACCCGGATCAATTATTTGTAGGCCATACAAGTGTTCCGTGCGGGATTCGAACCCGCGGCCCTTGGCGCTGCAACTTATTGCTAAGCCACTGCGTCACGGAGCCGTCATCTACTACAACTACTACAGTAATTTTTGTTAAATATTAACGTTAGATGAAACTTAGAGCAAAGTGGGGCAATTAAATGAAGTTCCCACGCTCCCTCGGGAAGTCTTCAGCCTTCGTGTGTCAACTGCCACTTGATTAAGTGGGGACTTTAGGCCCTGAGGCGATATCTTATAATTAAACGTTTTATACATTAATCAGTTTGTTAAATATTTTTCAAGGATTTATTACCTGAAGTTGTTTAGGCGTTTGTCCATATGAAGAAGTTTGTTAAAGTAAAAAATATATATATATATATATATTGTATGTACATCTATGTAATATCATTGTGTAATTATGTTTATAATTTGTATCTTAGTATTTAGTTATGGTTATTATTATGCATAATATATCATATATACATAGATATTTTTAACGTAGCTGGTTGCACTATGCACTCATAATATCTTCTCTGCTTAGCCTGGAGGTTGACTGGTAAAAAATACCTTACTGCATTAAGTCCGCTTTTTGTATTTTGTATGAAAATAAAGCATAAATACATATATTTAATAAAAACCCTCTCAGAAATGAGAGGAGTCCTGTGCCCAGCGGTGGGACGTATATATTATGTATGTTGTAACTTAAACTTTTTATCCACCAATCAGAGCCTATAAAAGTCCACTGCTGAATAAAAGCCTCCTCCATTGGATTGTGCCATAGTTGCCACCCTTGGCAGGTGGGTTGGCAGCCGCGATGTTGTTATAATTTCGACTTGTTAGCTGGAAGGTGCTGATGCCCATATTCTGTATGAATTTCCCTGTGTCGTGTCTTACGGTACCCACGGTAGTGAATATTCTTACACCGGCCGCCACTACGTAGTTAAAAATTTATTTTTATACAGGATAAATTGTCAGTATTATTGATTACATAGTTCAACACAGAAAAAAAAATCAAAATTACGTCAAGCAGTTATAGAAGAAATAATTTATGATGATTCGCCGGTTTCTTTCCCTTTCCCCCTAACCCTCGGCAGTCTGGTCTCCTCTGTCGAGGGCTTCCATCTGGTTGGGTTTTTATATATTTATGTATTTTTTATGTATTTATTTTATTTTATTGATATTTATGTACGTTTAACATGTTTATTTACAATTATATATATATATATATATATATATATATATATATATATATATACCACAACCAGATGAGAAAACTTTATAGATATCCCATTTAAATGAAAGTAGTTTTTACGGATTTTATCGCGTATATGTTAACTTATTTCATATTCCCGTCCGATAAAATCCGTAAAAACTAGTTTTATTTAAATGTGTAGTTTTCGCGTAAATATAAGAAATCATTAGATAATAATAATGTATGTATTTGTGTGGAGAAACTATGAACTCCGCATCAGACATGTTTATGGCACGTGCATCCATTATTCTATACGTTACGAGTATGAACTGGCGCCTCAGGAATATTTACTATCTCTCGAACGTAATAAACACCTATGAAGAAAAGCGTCGGACTGTATATAAAATTTTAAAGTTATTAGAATACTTTTTTTTATAGGATCGGGTGACAAACGAGCACACAGTCCACCTGATGGTAAGTGGTTACTGTGACCCATAGAAATCTACATCTATCCTCAATAAAGACTCAAGATGCAGATGCGTTGTCACCCGTGAGGACTAAAATGGAATGCCTCTTTGCCAGTAAAAAGGGTCTCCGGTTCTCTACACTCACCATACGAAACACAGCAGCGTTAAGCTGCTATGTTACGCTGGTTTTCTGTGAGAGCGTGGTCCTTCCCCGGTCGAGCCGACCCAATCGTGCTACAACCATAATATAGCTTCAGCATGGCTCTACCACGTATGATTAGCATTTCTGTACTGTGAGGGATATGACAGTTATTTCATTTATTTATCTTTTGCGACACTCGCAGCATGAGGTCAAGTTATAGAGCCACAAGTTCCTATTACCAAGAGGAACTACAGCTACCGCTTTAAAAAATAGGTATACTTCGTTAGATGACAATTCTTTGGAAACTTGAAGCCATGGTTTTAAAGTTCTACGACCACAACCTGACGTTTAAAAAAAAACATTTCTTGAAGAACAATTAATCGCTCAAGTTCACCCGGTTGTTATAGTAAAAAGCTTAAAGGTGCTCAATTGGATACAGTGGCACACAGATATCACCGATTTTACTACATCCTTACCTCATTCTATTGATACTATTTCAAAACATATTTTTGTTAGAAGAAATTGTGTTTAGGGGTATAAAGATTTTATTGTTAATCGTGATAATGTTAAGGCAGCTTTGATATGTCGTAAAAATAATAATAATCCTGGGTGTCGTGATATTACGATCGATGAAAATAATTTGCAATGTTTACCTGACAAGAGTGTTTTTCAACAAATTTGCTCAATTCAAGAGAAAGAACATCTTTAATTTAATTTAGATAGTGATGATGATGATCGAAATACATTAAATGATAATGTTTATGAATCTTTTTATTTTTTATAGGATAGGGTGACAAACGAGCACACAGTCCACCTGATGGTAAGTGGTTGCTGTGGCCCATAGACATCTACATTTATCCTCGTTTGTGCATCAAAATGCAGATGCGTTGTCACCCGTGAGGACTAAGATGGAATGCCTCTTTTCCAGTAAAAAGGGTCTCCGGTTCTCTACACTCACCATACGAAACACAGCAGCATTAAGCTGCTATTTTACGCTAGTATTCTGTGAGAGCGTGGTCCTTCCCCGGTCGAGCCGACCCATTCGTGCTACAACTATACTACTAATATAGCTGCAGCATGGCTCTACCACGTGTGATCTGGAGCCTCAACGGAGACTTTTCAACGTAATCGTAAAGCAGTGAATAGTGTATTGAACATTAAAGAAAGAAATGAAGGATCGTGTGTTTTACCTTGGCTTAGATAGCATTCTTAACCAATTAATGAATTTACTTGTGATGGATATATTTTATGTTTGGATAAGGTTTCTTGCCTGTTGTACTAATGGCGCTTGATTGAATCGCGCCTTAAGTGAGTTACGTTATTACGCACGCACATATCATAAAACACGTCTGATGTTATTCACACATCTAATCCTAGCGCCAAATACAGCTTCAAACAAGTGTTCAAATGTATAAAGCTGTATCTAACGCCGGCTTAAGAATCACGAACACACTTCTTAGTTTTATAGATTGTTGTTGTTATTTTTGTTGGGATGAAATAAAAACGAATATAAATGATTTGTCGTATGTATTATTTATTACCCATTCATTAAAAAATCAAACTCTCTAAAAAAAAACTGCCTTCAAAATTACTAGGTATTCGTGAACCCTCCTAAATCACCGCTCTTTGCTAGTTAATTATGGTATCCCAAGCAGATTTTCTCTATTGAAATGAGTTTTATTTTTTAATTTAATGATCTCGCGAATCATGCTTGGTAGAAATCGGTGTTCTTCTGCCAGGATTTGTGGTCTATCAAATCCAATTTAAATAGCGGAGACGATCATGTTCACAGACTGCAGACTTCCCGGAGCGTCGGCACTTCACGTCCGTCAGTTATGCGTTCTTTTATGTGGGTTTTTATAGATATTTTTGTTTGTTCATACCGCTAATTATTTAAGCGTTAATGCTGATGGAATGAGCGGAAAAAGTCTTTATTTCTAATTTTCTGTAATAATATTTATTTTTTAATTGAAAAGGTGACGTGATATTTTAAATGTCTCCCGCTCCCTTTAAATGAGATTTTATGAGATTTTGCTGGACCCCTCCTCCTTCATTTTAAGCTCACGTAATTAATGCCCCCTAACAGATATGTTTGTGTAATGCGCAGGCAAGGTGGTGTGCGGCGCGTGCGGCGGCAAGTGCAGCGGCGAGGTGCTGCGCGTCACCGACAAGTACTTCCACACCGCCTGCTTCACGTGCCGCACCTGCTCCGCTTCGCTCGCGCGCGGTGGTTTCTTCTGCAAGGACGGACACTACTATTGCCCTCAGGTTGGCTATTGTTTTTTTTTTTAACTGGTAAGTGCGATGAAGGAGTACCTACGCAGTACGAGTGACGCGTATGTATCCTAACACGAAAAATCAACAACTGTTGTGGTCTGAACTTTTATAACTTTTCCACGATGGACCAATGTTCAAAAACATGGCTGACACAAGCTTTATATATCGAGAATGGTAATATTGTGTTCATAAAATTTGCGATTCCAGGTATGCAAGGGGTTATTATTAGACATGCAAAATACAAATGTGCAGGTCTGCAAGTTTTTAATTATTTTTAATAGAATAAGGGTGACAAACGAGCACACAGTGCACCTAATGGTAAGTGGATGCTGTGGCCAATAGATATCTACATTTATCTTTAATTAAAAATCAAAAATCAGATGCGTTGCCACCCCTGAGGACTAAGATGGAATGCTTTGTATCTATTAAAAAGGGTCTGCGGTTTTCTTGCCATACGAAATCAGCAGCATTAAGCTGCTATTTATGCTGGTATTCTGTAAGAGCGTTGCCCCTTCCGGTCGAGCCGGTCCAGAAGGTCCGGAAGTGGTTCGAAATAAAATTGTATTCAAACTTTCCTGACACACTGCCATGTTTTTAAAGTCTAGATACTATTATTCAAGTTATCACAAAGATATGCGAGGAGTGCTTATTCTCACAAAAACTATTTCCACGAACTAGCTACTATTAAAGTGCCTCCTAAAATATGTTTTACTTATGATACTAATTTTTAGAAAGTCTGCAAATATAACTCAAGAGTTTGGTCGTTAACATACGTATAATGTTACTGACACTACTTGGTATGCGGTACTTCGGAGTTTTGTCATTAGATACGGAAATACAGTTATGGAAGTTGGTTTTAAATGTGCGATTCATGCTAGAGTAAAATGTCGATAACATTCCTACACTTGTTTGGTTTAAAGCCAAATTGAGTTTCATAGCTCGCACGAGTCAGAATATGACAATGAAGAATTAAATTGATGCGTGCTTTTTGGCATTCCTGTGGGTAGACCTATGTTCAGCAGTGGACTTGTAAAGGGCTGTTATGATAATGATGATGACGTGGCTGCTTCTGACATTTCAGATTATGCAATCGGTTATTACATTTTTTTACCCGGTAGAACTATTATGCAGCGTGAAATTCGGTTCGACCGCCGATGAACAACGCTCTCATAGAATGGGGGTATCCACGACTGCCACCAGGGTGGCGCCGCTTTGGAATGAAGTGAAATACTTGACAGATTTCACGGCGGGGGAAGTTAATTTGTTCAAAAAATGTAAAGCTTAATGTTTCATTCTGAAATATTAGTTTTATTTCATATTTATAATTATGGTTACAAACGCATAAACGATACTACGGATATTACTTAAAGTAGATGAATTAAAATAAGTTAAAAAACTGTAAATAAAAATTGAAGAAAAGACACATTGCTGCTATACTATCATCATCATCATTCATCATTACAGCCCTTCACAAGTCCACTGCTGAACATAGGCCTCCCCCAAGGAATGCCACAAAGCACGGTCCTGAGCCACCTGCATCCATCGACTTCCTGCATGTCTCACCAGGTTGTCACTCCATCTAGTGGGGGGTCGCCCTACACTTCGCCTATGACGTTGAACGAGGCTGCCACTCGAGAACCTTTCTTCCCCATCGGTTGTCGGTTCTTCGAGCTATATGGCCAGCCCACTGCCACTTCAGCTTACTAATACGTTGGGCTATGTCGGTTAGTCTGGTTCTACTGCGGATATCCTCATTTCTAAGTTTATCACGCAGAGACACCCCGAGCATAGTCCTCTCCATAGCTCGCTGAGCGACCTTGAGTTTCCTCATACGGCCAGCAGTGAAGGACCACGTCTCAGATCCGTAAGACATCACTGGCAACACGCACTGGTTGTACAATTTCGTTTTCAGGTTTTGATGTATGTCTAACGAGAAGATGTGTCGAAGTTTCCCGAACGCTGCCCAGCCGAGTTGAATCCGTCGATTGACCTCTCGGTCGAAGTTGGACTTACCTAGTCGGACTATTTGTCCCAGGTAAACATACTCGTCAACAACTTCGAGCTTAGTGCTCCCAACAACTACCGGCATAGGTGACATGGACGTTAAACATGATTTTTGTTTTGTCCATGTGCATCTTAAGACCTATCCGTTGGGAGACACTATTGAGGTCATTGAGCATAGTGCTTAGGTCCTCCAGAGATTCTGCCATAAGGACTATATTGTCGGCAAATCGAAGGTAAGTGATATACTCGCCATTGATGTTAATACCGTATCCTTTCCAATCCTGCAGCTTGAAAACGTCTTCCAATGCAGCGATGAAGAGTTTCGGGGATATAACGTCACCCTGTCTTACACCTCTCTGCAGTTGGATAGGTTTCGTACTCTGATTCTGTACTCGGATAGCCATCGTAGCTCTACTGTAAAAACAACTTGGCACCGCTGAAGGGACTGCAGCACTGCCCAAATTTCGACGGAATCAATGGCTTTGTCATAGTCCACATACGCAAGGCAAAGTGGCAGATTATACTCCTCTGTCTTCTATACAATCTGCCGTAGGGTGTGTATGTGGTCCATGGTACTACAGCCTTTTCGGAAACTTGTTTGGGAGGCTCGAAGTCGTCAAGTCTGCGTGCGAGACGATTCGTAATGACTCTCGAAAACCGTCTAGTACGTAGACGCGGCTCAGAAGGGAAATCGGTCTGTAGTTCCTCAAGAGAGCGTTGTCGCCTTTCTTGAAGAACAAGACCACCGCACTTCTGCTCCACGCCTCCGGAGTAGTGCCACCACGGAGGACGGAATTAAAGAGCTTCTGAAGGACTTCAAGTACCGGTTTTCCACCCGCTTTCAAAAGCTCCGCTGTAATTCCATCCTCGCCCGGGGACTTGCCGTTTTTATGGTGCTGGAGAGCCATTCTAATCTCGCTCAGACTGACTTCCGGGATATCTTCGGAATAGTGTCGGATAAGACTAGCTCTTGGATCGTTACTCACACTTGCTTGTGGCTCCAACTATGACGTGTACCCATAGAACCTCTCAATCTCACTCAAAATCTATATACTACCTACTTAATTCTATATGGCTTTAATATACTGCCTACTTAATTCTATAGGTAAAGTCATTTTATCGAACAAAAATTGATTGACTCTCAAAATGGTACGTAAAATAGACGCTAGATGGCCTAAAAACGATTCTTTTAATGTAAATCTGTAAGTTATGTAATCGTAAATGGTTATGAATGGATTGGATTGGAATTTTATTCAATATGATTAATATTTTTTTTACTGTTTATGTTAACAGTTAAAAGTTATATTAACCATTTATGAAGCACCGCATAAAGAGGAGAGCGAGATAATAGGAAACAATTTATACTGTATTCCATCTCATTCTCTCGAAGGCTAAATCCTGTAGATATATGTATATTTGTCTCTTTCTAGTGTCGCTTTCGATTCTAAAGAAGTATTCACTTCAGAAAAACTGTTTGCTAATTAGTTTTGATTTGTTTTTCGCAGGATTACCAGCGAGCGTTTGGCACGCGCTGTGCGGCGTGCAACCAGTACGTGGAGGGCGAAGTGGTCTCCGCTCTCGGGAACACCTACCATCAGAAGTGCTTCACGTGCGCGCGATGCAAGTAAGACCAAAATACACTACTAAAGTGAAGACTCCAGTCACACAATTGAAACTAGTTTTATAGAGTTTTTTTAAAGAATAAGGGTGACAAATGAGCACACAGTCTACCTGATGACAAGTGGATGCTGTGGCCCATATACGTCTACATTTATCCTCGATTGACAATCAAACTGCAGATACGTTATCACCCCTAGGGACTAAGATGGAATGCCTCGTTTCCAGTAAAAAAGGGTTTCTGGTTTTCTATACTCACCATACAAGACACAGCAGGATTAAGCTGCTTTTTACGCTGGTATTCCATGAGAGCATGGTTCTACCTAGGTCGAGCCGACCCATTCGTGGCACAAACTTATATAGCTGCAGCATGGCTCTACCACATCTTAAGTTTATTTATGGCTATATGGCATATTGATGAACTCTAGTCTAGTGATGAACCACCTGGTCGATTTTTGACCACGGTTCAAACTACCAATCACTTTTATGTAATATGAACTGTGCAGGAGATGTTGTAGTGCCTCGAGTGTACAATAAAACAAAGCAGTATCCTCGGTTTAAAAGTAGACCTACCATCTAGCAAAACATTAAATTGAAGACGAGAACGTTTTGCTTAAAACTACTTGTGCCAATAATGAAGTGTTGGGGAACATTACCTTCCTTCATACGAATGGCTCACCTCTTATACCATTTTTTTTATTTTTGGGAAAATCCTCATGGATATATTTCGCTGCGGGGGAAACGAAAAGGTTATGCCGGACTTCTACTGGCTAAAATCCCACGGTGGTCACAATCAGCGTATACGAGGGGTCCTGGGATCTCCGTTTGGAACGCAACCAATCCTTCATCACTTTGCTTGATTTTTAGCACGTCCCAGGGGCAGTTATTGCTGCTGCCATCTCCTATACTTACTACCACCACCACCGTCCCGAAGCTATAAAATATAATATCCAATATTGCACTAGCCTACTTGAATTATATCCGTGACGCTGTTTTGATGTATGAACATGTTAAAACAATTTTTAAATAAGGGTCAAAGGGTAATCATTTAATAACTACTCTTTTCGTGTGGTGGCGGTGTAAAAATACCCATACCATCCCGTGGGTGTCGTAAGAGGCGACATAGGGAAATAAATCAGGAGTTGTGCAGGAGCGTCGTCCTAATAACGATTAAAAGTAAAAAAACTGCGGTTGCTAACCCGTTGGCCAAGCGTGGCAACTATGGCAAATATCCCGCCTATGAGGCAATCTTTAAGGGAGGTCTGTGTTCGACAGTAAACCTTTAATAGGCTGTAACGGTAAAAACTTCTGAAAATTCAAATGGCAGTATGGTTAAAGATAGTGTAGATTTTATATTGAAGTCAGTGTACGAGTATTTATTCAGAGATTTTTACGTGGTGTGGGTAGAGCCACGCTGCAGCTATATTTTGGTTGTAGCATGAATGGGCCAGCTCGACCGGGGTAGGACCACGCTCTCACAGAATAGCAGCGGAAAATAGCAGCTTAATGCTGCTGTGTGTCATATGGTGAGTGTAGAGAACCGGAAACCCTTTTTACTGGAAACGAGACATCCCATCTTAGTCCTCAGGAGTGACGACGTATGTGCATTTCGATTCTTAATCGATGATAAATGTCGAGGTCTATGGGCCACAGGGGTTGGGTTTAGAACCAAGTCGCCTGAATTTGAGGAGTCTGTCACTGTGGGGAGTCAAGGGGACTTATCTCAAGCGCCCCCATGCAATTTTAGCTGCCGGAGCTGCGTCGAGATATTTAATATAATTTTCTAAAAATATTCATAAATCACTAAATAATACCTGAAACGGTACTTTTGAAATTGACAGTAATCAGGAACAGATATACTCGACCAAAGAGTATATAATCACTACGTTTATACTCGACTTCGCGACTCGCGTCATAAGCGTCATTCCGTTGCTTCCGAGTTTACGTGAATGTGCTCCTTATTGTTATTATCTGCCTCCTGTTTTTGGACGACTTCGCTACCCCTCTGGAGACCGATTGCTTGCTATTTTACGACGTTTTTGGAAATGGTGGAAGTTAACATATTGGTGTTTTATTTGGTGCAAGAGCGAGCGAAGCGAGCTCGCGACTTGGGGCACCCCGACTCGGACAGCCGGGCTATTCACAATCGTCTCGGAAAGCGAAATCGACTCGGATTCGATAACTTCTCGCACCGAAACCAATAAACGCTATTCACATTTAACGTTCGGATAAAGGTCACTTAGGTACATCCCATAGCTATTGTATCGTCATTTAGTTACATGCATTTACGAATTTTGTAGATAAATAGGCTTTTGTATTTTTTTGTCACAATTATCGAAAACAAACGTCAAAGAAGTACTTCTTTGACGTTTGTTTTCGATAATTGTGAGCGTACGGTCACGCCCCATAGAAAAAAACCCAGAACCGACAGAAACGAGACATATCTCTGTTTTTTTGTTATTTATTATATAGTTAAATTATATATTTTTTATATTCGATATCAATGGCTAACACCAAAATATTGCATTATGCTTTTGTTCAGGCGTTACTCTAAAAAAATACAAAAGCCTATTTATCTACAAAATTCGTAAATGCATGTAACTAAATGACGATACAATAGTTATGGGATGTATCTAAGTGACCTTTATCCGAACGTTAAATGTGAATAGCGTTTATTGGTTTCGGTGCGAGAAGTTATCGAATCCGAGTCGATTTCGCTTTCCGAGACGATTGTGAATACCCCGGCTGGTTAGGTCAGAAGGGGTCGAGTGAGCGAGCGAAGCGAGCGAACAGACCCCTCCATCCCCTTCGTGGTTATTTTTTTTATAATCCATCCAGAAATAGGAGTCCCGCAAAGCGGGGCTCCGTCAACCAAGTTTTCCTCGACTGCGCCACGTTGAGTGGCGTTGGGCTACCCTCCCCCAACTCTCTGCCCCCACAGATGAGGTTTATATTGTCAAAAACATTACAAAAACATAACCTCAAAATGAGATTTTTTTAAATTTATAAAAAGAAAACTAAGCATGTCCGGCAGGAAATGGAAGTGGGGGGTGACTCTACAACTTCCCTTCATCTCCCCCCACCACCCCCTACTCCCAAATTCAGGCGACTTGATTCTAGCAGGTGATCGCTACCATGCTGTTTCTAATACTATACTACAATTACTTTGATATAAATAAAGCTTATTATTTTATTATTATTATTATAAATGTTTTCTTCATAACAATTGTATAAAATATTATAATGTACATTGTGCTTTTAAAAAAAGTCCCGCTGAGTTTCTTACCGGTTCTTCGGACAGAGGTTTTTCTTTGCAAACCAGTTGTAAAAAATAACTTTCAATAAGTTTTATGTAGTGTAATCTATATTATAGTTTTGGAGAGTAAATGCAGATGTCTATGGGCCATAGAATTCACTTACCATCAAGTGGACACTGTGTGCTCGTTTGTCAGTGGACTACGGAAGCAGAGAACGAGAGAACGAGCACGTCTCATACAATAACAGGCATTGTAAAAAAAAAATTCGTGCGCTTGGTTTCAGGCGTGCGTTCCCCTCCGGCGAGAAGGTGACGTACACGGGGTCGGAGGTGATCTGCGGCGAGTGCGCGGCGCCGCAGCGCCACGCGGCGCGCGCGACCCGCTCGCCCGATCAAGCCTCCCCCTCCCCCGCCTCGCCCTCCCCCGCCTCGCCCGGCTCACCCGCCTCCCCCGCCTCGCCCGACCGGGATGACGTCGACCGCAGGCAGCCCGACCCAAATGGTGAGCATATAAACTAACCTCAATTAAATAGAAAATCCTCCCTAAAATATACTTATATTATATAGGTCATTAATGTACACTAAAAAAATGGTAGGGCCCAATACTCTTCCTTGAGGCACACCATGTGTAATCGTTACTTCCCTTCTACTTTACTAATATAATTATTCTCCTATTTTAACACTCTGTTTCCGGTCATTAAAATAGTCATTAAAAGTATTAAAAGTGTCCTTTATAGTCAGGATTTCGACCTGGACACAGTACTACCACAACATTGGTGTACATCACCGATGATATCCGATTGGGAATGGAAAACAATGAAGTGACTGTTCTTTGTTTATTAGATTTCAGTAATGCTTTTAATACCGTTGACCATGATGTCCTACTCGGCGTAATGCGCTCTCTTAACGTATCTCCAACAGCGATTGGTTGGTTCCAAAGTTACCTGTCTGGTCGCCAGCAACGTATACGTATCGACGATATATTATCATCTTGGTGTAACGTACGTGTTGGTGTACCGCAGGGAGGCGTTTTATCTCCTTTACTTTTTGCAGTCTTTATAAACTCAATATCCAATAATTTAACTTCTTCCTACCACCTTTATGCAGATGATCTACAAATATATACAAAAGCTTGTCCCAACGATCTCCCCAATTCCTATCAATGTCGTTAATGCAGATCTCGATCGAATCCTTGAGTGGAGTAATGCATACGGCCTTCACGTTAACCCAGCAAAATCGCAAGGCATTATCATGGGCAGCGCGCAAATGTTGGCTGAGTCGAGCCTAGATTACCTGCCTCTAGTATTTGGTAAAACTATCATTCCTTACAGAGATTCAGTAAAGAACTTAGGTATCCACATAGATAAGAATCTGTCGTGGAGACAGCATATCAAAGAAATTAATCGCAAAGTTTATGCCTCGACAGCCTCCTTGCGTAGATTACGTAACTTTCTTCCCATTTCCACCAAAACTATGCTTGCCAAGTCCCTTCTCTTCCCTATTTTTGACTACGCAGACGTCAGCTATCTAGATTTCACCGAAGCTCACCTCGATAAACTTGAGCGAATTCAGAATTTTTGCATAAGGTTTATATTTGGATTGCGCAAATATTACCATGTATCTCTTTTTCGTACTAAGCTCAAGTGGTTGCCAATACGAGTTCATCGGAATGCTCACATACTTCATCTTCTCTATTATAGTGTTCTCTTTAATCCTTCTTACCCTTCTTACCTCAAAAATCGTTTTGTGTTTCTTTGTGATTCCCATTCGCGTAACTTGAGGTCAACAGAGAGTTTGAAGTTGAATTTGCCACTATACACTAGAAAATTTATGAACAAGTCTTTTACTGTCAGTAAAACGCACACCATCCCTACCGGTATTTAAAAAACTAGTTAAGAATCACTAACTCGCACTTTAAATTCTAACTTCACTTCCACACTAGCCATTAAATGATATATTATATGTATCACATCAATTTCATTTAGTTAATTAAATAATTCATTATATATATATATTTTATTATTTTTTTGTATGTATATGTTTGTAGTATGTGTATGTGTAATATGTATGTGTATTTATTCTTTTTTATCTCTTTTTTTCTCTAACACACCAATTTACCCTGACCTTGTCATATTCGTGCAATTCTGTCCATTCATTGGTTGTCTGGAAGAAATTGCTATCAGCAATAAGACCGCCCATTGCATACTTCTTTTATATATATAATTTCTGTAATTTATGTATGGTGTGCAATAAAGAATATTAAATAAATAAAATAAATAAATAAAGGTGTACCTCGTATTATAGTGAGTTTTAATTTTTTGCACAAGTAAAGGTAAAAAAAAAAAGAAAAAAAGGTACAGAAACGGTGTCAAATGGTTTCTTAACATCCAGAAAAATAGTTATACATTTATTTTTATTATCAAGATGGTTAACTATTTGGGAGGTTAAAATTATTACATCGTCTTCAGTAGGTTTCCAAGTCTTAAAACTATATTGTGTTTTGAATAATAAATTGTATTTTTCAAGATATCTCATAAGTATAATATTTATATAACACAGAGATTAATCTTTAGACGTTGACATCTTTTCTGTCAACACTCTTATACACTGGTGTAATTATAGAAAGTTTAATTTGGGTCGGAAAAACCTTCTTTGAAACGAATATGTTGGCAAGTGTAATAGCGTAGGGAAAAGGGATATTGTCCCTCCCCGGTATACTATTAGATTTTAGGGACATGAGTATACTGTGTACTTCTGGAAAAGTGTTCACAAGAGCAAACAAACAACATTGGCAGCGTGTTGAATTTGAGGTGTTAATATTTAAGATATAGTAGTTATTATTGTAATATTTTTCCAAAGCATATTTGAGTTTTATCAAATTTAGTCCAGTTTCCCTTTCATTATTGCGCTTCAGTTTTTTTTTTTAATAAGGTTATTACAATAATTACAGTAACTATTACAGGAAATTTTTAGAATTTCGTTAAAAGGATCAGAATAGATCAGATTAATCCTATTGCGATTTTTAATACGAGCTCGTTCATCGTAAGATACCAGGCTTAATCCATGGCTTAACAATTCGTTGATTTTTTTTGGAAATAAACCTCCTTGTACATTTATCAAAATCAAAAATGTTTATTCTGTAAGAATACATTTAAATCATTAGCAGTACACAGAGTTCTCCTTTTAAGTATTTTTCAATCCCTGTGACAGGAAAACTCGCTCTTCCTTAATTAAATTACTAAGTAAAAATCTAAGAACATAGTGAATTATCTTGTGTTTAAATAAACTGATATTAAAATTTACCGCGTTTAAATTTAATTTCTTAGAGATAAAGGCGATAATAGCCCAAAAATGAATTACCTTTAAATGTGTACTTCATATGTCCTCGCAAATATTAAAATTAATTACGTTGAGTTTTTTTTAACCCCTTGTGCTTTTTATCTCTTTCGTCCTAAGACGTTTTATTTCTATTCATTTATTGCGTTTAGTTAGATGAATTTAATTTCAGTTGTTGAAACTAGCCCCTTATCTCCAATTTACTAAATAGTTTAACTACATCTTGGAATGAAAAGCGTGCGCGTGTTCGCCACATTTAAATTGCATCCCATCATCTTGCCTTTTGTACAATTGTGCACAATTTGTCAGCATTTACACCGATGTACTTACTGTACACTCAAAAGAATAAATTTATTGTCTGAAATTGAGGAGTAATTCTTTTTTTTTTCACATTTTTGTTAGTCAAAAGTATAACTGCAACTATACGGCTGGATTGTAAATGTTTCGTGATTTCAGCAGGTACCTATATTAAAAAAAAAACTAATTTGCCACTTCATATTTATCTTTTACAATATTATCATTTAAATATAGGGCAATCTTACTTTTTGGGATTTTTTTTTGGCTTTAGTTTGGTATGCAGAAAGGTTAATTTTATCGCTTAAATAGTTTTTTTTTTGTCCACTTTGTCCTTTGTACAGATTGATTTTAAAAAATGAGTTAGTTGTATGTGATCTTATGTCATATAGCTCGTATAGCTTCTCCCTATTCGTGTTCATTAGACGATTTTAGACGTCACTTACTCAAGCATAATTACTCACGAATTATTTTACTTCATTTCTTTTTTCAACACATTGTTAAATCTTTCAACATAGTGTCAAAATTGCCTTCGGGATCATTCGCGGAAAAGCGTAATTCAGATATTTTCATTTTAATATTCTGTTTGTATTGTCAACAATGTTATTTTATGTAAAGTTGGATATTTAAGGCTTTGTGATCTGATTTAACTCCATCTTTTATGTCGTATATATATTCTAATAAATATTATATTGATTCCACACTTTTCTTGCATGAATAAACTCGAATTGTTTGTTTTCCTCTTTCAGATTGCGCGGGCTGCGGACAAGAACTCTCCGAGGGTCAAGCCTTAGTCGCTTTAGACAGGTAAGTTGTGACCCCAGTCGTACATAAGCGCTATATTTTTGTAACCAGAAAATATATCGTATATTTTTTATAGTATGCAGCTCATGGACCCACCACAAACTTCAAACAAAGCACTAATACTGACTGTCGACACGCAGCATGTCGCTTATTATGTTTCTTATGCATACCATTCAAACCTAAACACTGCATATACTACTGTTTAGCAATAACTTATTGCTATTCCTAATAAGCAGTATGGTAAAAGGGACCTACTTATGCCAAATGGAAAAGCTAAACTTCAATAAATAATTAACTTAATAATTAGTTTAAGTTGCATATAGTGACTATCTTTTTAGTTAACAATTTGCAATTGTAAGAAAATGTATAAAAAAAATAGAAAGAATAGTTTATTTTTGCCCATATGGTAAGCTGTGTATACATCGTGATAAAATGTTGAGTAAATGTAAAAAGTAGTATTATTTCACAGACATAGTAAAACGTCAAGGCAATAAGTAATTATCATTTTGTATTTCAATGAGTACATTATCATTTCAGTTCGCCGTGATTCACCGCTGACCGTGTACACAATTGCTTATATTGTTGGCATAATTTTTTGTCTTCTTTTGAGAACATGTCGTTTTTTATCCTTCAATTCTTTGTTTGATTGTAGATTTTGTTGATTGTGTGCTTGACCTTGAACGTTTTAAATCGATCAAAAACTTGCTAACGAAACCACACGATTATGTTTAGCCATTGATTTGTGTAATTAAAGTAAGAGATCATTTGTAATAGAAGGGTTACATTCTATAGAATTGTCAATTGTCCGGCAAATTGTGTGAGTTGTTTACATATGTTAAGTATCATATTCGTAGCAGATTAAAAAATACATTTTGTTGAAGTTTTAAAAAGTCTTCAACGGGGGTTAGATAAATTCTTGTATGTCAATATTTTGACTGTATCAACATACTCATATAAAAGGTAACATTAATCCCCTCTCCCTCCTTCAATTGCGTGGACTATCCTTGTCAGCATTATTCCCAGCATCACCACTCCAAACACTAGGAAAGACACACCACCGTCGATAAGATGAACACGTGTTTCGCCTCTAAACAAGACAACCTCAAGTGATGTAGACTGCGGTAGCTGACTGCTAAGTAAGCGATACGCGGATATTAGCTAATTAATGTTTAACATCTTTAATGTAATGGATTTCCGTAAAATAACGCCTGACTCTATTCATTACGATACCGTCGCTTTGCACATGGATGTGGTTACAGTGGAACCATGTTTTTACGCGATTATGCTGCAGCTATATTATGGTTGTAGCACGAATAAGTCAGCTCGACCGGGAAAGGAAAACGCTGTCAGAGAATACGAGCGTGAAATAGCAGCCGTGATTCGTTTGGTGCGTGTAGAGAACTGGAGGCTCTTTTTACTGTAAACGGGGCATTCGATTTTAATTCTAAGGGTTGACAACGCATCTGCATTTTGGTTCTTAATTGAGGATAGATGTAGATACCTATGGGTCACAGCATTCACTTATCATTAAGTGGACTGTATACTCCTTTATTATCTTTATTCTATAAAAAAGTCGATTATTATGATATTGTCGCTTCGGTACACGGCGGTAGTTACAGCGCAGTTAGTTCTTAGAGTATATAAGAGTGTGTATAATCTGTTTACTAAGATAATGTCGGTACACCCGGAGGCCCACTTATTATTTTGCTTTTATTTTATTATTTTTTACTGTCTTTGTTAAACAAATGTTTTTCTATTCTAAGAATAAACTAAAATGTTATTTTACTCTTATGGTTTTTATAAGAAAATACGAATTTAAATAATAAATACAAGTTAGGTTGCAAAGATGCTTTCAATACGGTGCGGCGCTTCGTTTTAAAATGCCAAATTATCTTGCGGATGTATGCCGCACACGGCAACGTTCGATGTCGTGGTGGCGCTTTTGATAAGATGCGGCATGTGGTAAGGCGGCACGAATCAGAGGCGACTGTATCTAAACGGTTATACTGAATGCGGCGGTGTTGTGCGTGACGTGTGCAGGCAGTGGCACACGTGGTGCTTCGCGTGCGGCGAGTGCGGCGCCGTGCTGCGCGGCGAGTACATGGGGCGCGGCGGCGTGCCGTACTGCGAGCGCGACTACCAGCGCCTGTACGGCGTGCGCTGCGCCTACTGCCAGCGCTACATCTCCGGCAAGGTGCTGCAGGCGGGCGACAACCACCACTTCCACCCGACGTGCGCGCGCTGCAGCAAGTGCGGCGACCCGTTCGGCGACGGCGAGGAGATGTTCCTGCAGGGCGCCGCCATCTGGCACCCGCGCTGCGGGCCCGCGCCCGGCGACCCGCTGGCGCTCGACCGCGCCTGCTCCGAGCTGCAGGTGCACACGCACAGCCACACGCACACACACACGCACACGTACACACGCGTACATCTGGCACCCGCGCCTGCTCCGAGCTGCAGGTGCACACGCACAGCCACACGCACACACACACGCACACGTACACACGCGTACATCTGGCACCCGCGCCTGCTCCGAGCTGCAGGTGCACACGCACAGCCACACGCACACACACACGCACACGTACACACGCGTACATCTGGCACCCGCGCCTGCTCCGAGCTGCAGGTGCGCACACACGCACAGCCACACGTACACACACACGCACACGTACACACGCGTACATCTGGCACCCGCGCCTGCTCCGAGCTGCAGGTGCGCACACACGCACAGCCACACGTACACACACACGCACACGTACACACGCGTACATCTGGCACCCGCGCCTGCTCCGAGCTGCAGGTGCACACACGCACAGCCACACGTACACACACACGCACACGTACACACGCGTACATCTGGCATCCGCGCCTGCTCCGAGCTGCAGGTGCGCACACACGCACAGCCACACGTACACACACACGTACACACGCGTACATCTGGCACCCGCGCCTGCTCCGAGCTGCAGGTGCGCACACACGCACAGCCACACGTACACATACACGCACACGTACACACGCGTACATCTGGCACCCGCGCCTGCTCCACCGCGCCTGCTCCGAGCTGCAGGTGCACGCACACACCTGCACACACGAACACGCATACGCACACCGACATGTGCATACATACTCACAGGCACACACACAAACACATGCACACGTACACACGCGCATAAAAACACACTCACGCACACAGACACATACAGGCAGAGCAGAAAAAGGCGTAAACATTAATAGAGAGGATAACGCACACACCCACAGAGAGAAATATATGTAGACACATACATAAATACATAGAAAGAAAAAGAGGGGACAGTGAAAAGTTTAGAACACGGACACATACATTTGCACTGCTGAAAATTGTGATCAATCCAAAATTATATGAAAAAAGTTTTTACAATTTTATTAGTTTATCTTAAATATATCATTTTTATCTATAATTTTATTATTTAAATTTCTTTATATCTTGTTATAATTTTTTAAAGTTATATTGAGTTTTTCAGTTTATTTAACAAAGGATCTGATTTGTATTATGAGGGAGACGATTGACCGGTGTACTCTTGCACAGTTCTCAATGCGCTCGCGCACGCCGAGTGTCAACGGCTCCTACTGCAGCCCCTACAGTAGCTTGACACGGAAGGTCCGTTTTATTTTGTTTTATTTTATTTTTAAGTTTTGCCTTTCGTCTTTGCTTTAAATGTTGTCAATTTAACTTAATTATTAATTTTTAAAATTTAATTATCTGATTTCTTCAATTTCTACTTGTTATTGTTGCTTTTGTGTGTAGAATAACTTATAGGACATTGATTAAAGGCAGACAAATTTATTTATTTTATCCTATGTTTAAATTTTTTTTAATTTTAAATTCATTACAGCGTATCAAAAGTCCACTGATGAATAAAGATCACCCCTGAAGAATGCTTCATATGAGTATTTTGGTACAGTTTCCACGCTTAGCAGAAGAGTTAGCAATCACAGTTTTTATTATTATCAGTTGTTGTCAGGAAGATGCTGACCATCTTCTGTTTCACTTTCCCTCTGTCGCTTTTTACGATATCCACGGGATGATGTGGGTAGTAGATATTATTACGCCGCCACTACACACCATCATTTTTCTTATTGTTATTTATATCGTATACCACATCGAGTTGTCCATTTCTTCATCAGTGGTTTTAATCATCGATTGATGTTTCGTAGCGAACTACAGCCAGTAAAATATCACCATATAAAACAAAACAACATAAATGTTTCGACATCATTGAAACCAACACCAAAAATAAAAAATCAACTTTACATTTCTCTTTATATTTGATATCTAAAAAATTCTTAAAACCGCAAAAATTATCGAGTAAAGAAATGCTTAATGAAATAGTCGGAGAGCTGGCGACGAATTTTGAAAAGGTCCCTTTGGCAAGTTGAAATTGTGAAAAAATATAATTTCGTCAATTGGCGAATCCAGTTCTGCGAGTCTGGAAGAGCGTTTTGAAGTTGAGCGTTGGGAAATTTAATAAAATATCTAAGTCTCCTTAGATATTTTAGACTTACTTAATTACCAGAGTATTACCAGACAGGAGTCTGGTAATACTCTGGTAATTTAAATTATATAAATACTAAATTAAAACATAAAGTTAAAATCAAGTTGCCAAAAAAACATTTTTTTTTTTGCAAATGCGCATTAACGAAATAACCGCAAACGCTCTCTTGGACTCGGGGAACATGATTCGCCAATTCACGAAATTATATTTTTTCTCAATTTCAACTTGCCAAAAGGACCTTCCCAAAATTCGTCGCCAGCTCTTGAACCAAAAATACATAATATATAACAATGAACTAATAATTACGATTTTTCCACATCGTTTAATAATTTTTAGTAAAATTTTACGACTTAAAGATAGGAAAAAGCTTGGTGCATTTTTTAGACCAAAAAGCAGAAAATTTTTGTTTCTTTTTATTTTATCTTTTTGACTTGTCGAGCCCCTTTTTGTATAAGTGACTGAAATGAACTGCAGCTTCGACAGCATTTATCAGACAAGAAGGCAGGTTACAAAAGCAAATAAATGTTACAAGCCTTGTATCTTTTGCATGCCTTGTATCTATGCATATTGATCTAAATATGCATAGTTACCTTGAACTATGCCGTGTAGTGGCGGTCAAGAATATCCACTACCCCATATCCTCCCGTGGGTGTCGTAAAAGGCGACAAAGGGAAACAGGCAGGAGATGGGCAGCAGCATCTTCCTGATAATAGATAAATTACAATAAAAAAACTGCGGTTGCCAACCCGCTCGCCAAGCGTGGCAACTATGGCAAATACCCCCCTATGAATGACAGTAACAAAGAAACGGCCCCCAGTCCCCGGCGGCCCCGCTATTCCTGGCTACGGTGGCGACCATGGTAACGGCGGGGCAGGGGGTGCTAAGAATCTCCGGTGGAGGTATATAGTCCTTATGGCAGAATCGCTGGAGGACCTAAGCACTATGCTCAATGACCTCAATAGTGTTTCCCAACGGATAGGTCTTAAGATGAACATGGACAAAACAAAGATCATGTTTAATGTTCATGTCACACCTATGCCGGTAGTTGTTGGAAGCACTAAGCTCGAAGTTGTTGACGAGTATGTTTACCTGGGACAAATAGTCCGACTAGGTAAGTCCAACTTCGACCGAGAGGTCAATCGACGGATTCAACTCGGCTGGGCAGCGTTCGGGAAGCTACGACACATCTTCTCGTGAGACATACCTCAAAACCTTAAAACGAAATTGTACAACCAGTGCGTGTTGCCAGTGATGACTTACGGAACTGAGACGTGGTCCTTCACTGCTGGCCGTATGAGGAAGCTCAAGGTCGCTCAGCGAGCTATGGAGAGGGCTATGCTCGGAGTTTCTCTGCGTGATAAACTTAGGAATGAGGATATCCGCAGTAGAACCAGAGTGACCGACATAGCCCAACGGATTAGTAAGCTGAAGTGGCAGTGGGCCGGCCATATAGCTCGAAGAACCGACAACCGATGGGGAAGAAAGGTTCTCGAGTGGCAGTCTCGTACCGGTAGGCGAAGTGTAGGGCGTCCCCCCACGAGATGGAGTGACGACCTGGTAAGACATGCAGGAAGTCGATGGATGCAGGTGGCTCAGGACCGTGCTTTGTGGCATTCTTTGGGGGAGGCCTATGTTCAGCAGTGGACTTGTGAAGGGCTGTAATGATGATGATGATGACCTTGAACTATGCATATTTAGATCAAAACATTAATTATTTGTTTTTGCTTTTAGTTATAATAATTAAAACCACTGATAAAAGAGTGGAAAACTCAATATGGTGTTATTGCTATACTTAACTCCAATTTGTCCAATTTGTTAATTTCGTCAATTGGCGAATCCAGTTCTGCGAGTCTGGAAGAGCGTTTTGAAGTTGAGCGTTGGGAAATTTAATAAAATATCTAAGTCTCCTTAGATATTTTAGACTTACTTAATTACCAGAGTATTACCAGACTCCTGTCTGGTAATACTCTGGTAATTTAAATTATATAAATACTAAATTAAAACATAAAGTTAAAATCAAGTTGCCAAAAAAACATTTTTTTTGCGCATTAACGAAATAACCGCAAACGCTCTCTTGGACTCGGGGAAAATGATTCGCCAATTCACGAAATTATATTTTTTCTCAATTTCAACTTGCCAAAAGGACCTTCCCAAAATTCGTCGCCAGCTCTTGAACCAAAAATACATAATATATAACAATGAACTAATAATTACGATTTTTCCACATCGTTTAATAATTTTTAGTAAAATTTTACGACTTAAAGATAGGAAAAAGCTTGGTGCATTTTTTAGACCAAAAAGCAGAAAATTTTTGTTTCTTTTTATTTTATCTTTTTGACTTGTCGAGCCCTTTTTTGTATAAGTGACTGAAATGAACTGCAGCTTCGACAGCATTTATCAGACAAGAGGGCAGGTTACAAAAGCAAATAAATGTTACAAGCCTTGCATCTTTTGCATGCCTTGTATCTATGCATATTGATCTAAATATGCATAGTTACCTTGAACTATGCATATTTAGATCAAAACATTAATTATTTGTTTTTGCTTTTAGTTATAATAATTAAAACCACTGATAAAAGAGTGGAAAACTCAATATGGTGTTATTGCTATACTTAACTCCAATTTGTAGTGAAAATGTTAACTTTTATTTTTATTGCTTTTTGGTCTAAGAAATGCTGTAATCTTTTTCCTATCTTTAACTCATACAATTTAACAAGTAATATTAACGTATAATAGGGAGCAGATAATTTGTACTTATTTGTTCGTTCCTATCTATGTATTGTATATTAAACCTTCACCACTGGATCTCTGTTTCTGTTCGGGTTTTTAAGAGTTTTCAGATATCAAATATAAAAAGAAAGGTAAAGTTGATTTGTAATTTTTGGAATTGATTCTAGGGATACAGAAAAAGTAATGTTGTTTTTTTATAGTGATATTTAAGCGGTATAGTTCGTTACGAAACATCAAATGCTGATGATCCCTTATGGTTATTAAAATGCTACGCCACTTTTCTCTTTCCAAAAATTTATAAAAAAATTCTACAATGTTTAATTTATTAGTATTTAAGTCATTATATTTGTACGGTCCAAATGCCATAAATTTATTTTATGCTGACGCGGTTGTTACAACAATACGACATATACGTGTGCTTACTTTATACGCCACTCATACGTATATATACCTATGGCAGTAGTAGAGTACTCACTTACGTACCATCGTCTTAAACTAACTTTAAATTACATAACTATAAACAACTTAACTATCAAATAAGGTCTACGAGTCGCAAACTGGTAACTGGCCGTATATTATTTTTGGTCCTTCGAGCCGTGGTGTTTTGAGTCTTCAGAAAGAGAAGAGTGTTCTAAACGTCCACGTACCGTCAGAATACCCTTTTGATTAAAAAAGGGTGTAAAATTAAAATTTTGCTGTTAGTTGCGATGCTTCCTTTCTTATCTTATTATCATGCTCGATATTATTATAAAAGTATTTTTGTTGTATGAACTTAATATTTCCCAATTGGTACTTAAGAGTGTTTGGACCGTACAATATTTTTGTTAAAGATACCTTTTTTAATTTTACTTGTCACAAAGGTGTGCCCGAGCAATTTATTATGTATGTATAGTAAACTGTTACGATAAATAAGAGACGCGATGGTCGGATTTTGATCTCGATTTGATCACGGGGTTACTTGGGTCGTTTCCTACGAGAGTGTTCCGTGTCCATGTATGGGTCTTTGGTGTTGCAGTACGGGTACCGCGGCACGTCTCCTGGGCCGAACGGCACGGGGCGCTGGGGCGGCTGGTCGCCGGCGCGCATCACCACGTACTCGTACCTGGCCAGCGAGCCCGCCACGCTGCGCCGCTGCGTGCAGCCCTACGACCGCCCGCCCACCTCGCCGCACTTCCACCGCCCGCCCTGTGAGTACACTGTGCACACTGTGTACACCTGTGAGTGCGCATCACCACGTACTCCTACCTGGCCAGCGAGCCCGCCACGCTTCACCAAAATAGGACGATAAGTAATGTTTTGCCTCATATTTAGGTCTTTCGTTATGTATTGGAGTAATAAACACATTTATCCAAATACTTTAAACCATGCCTTCTTATAAGGAACGGCAAAGTAATATAGTTCGCACAACGTACGATTAAGATAGCAGGGATACCGTTTAGTCCAGCTGATTTGTTCAAGTCGATAGTTTTTAAAATTCTAGATACCTCACTTCTTGCACCTCCATGGAAGTGAGTGAAACTTAAATTGTGCCAATTCATAAGGATAATTCTATGCGAGACATAAGAAATTATACCAACCAATATCAATTATATCTATTTCTCAAATGTGTTTGAAAGTATTATCTATACACTCATGTTAAAACTCAGCTTACAAACAAGCAGCATGGATTTATCAGACGTAGATCAACAAACACGAAATTGGTCGACTTCGAAGTTGATACAATATAAAACTGATTTTAGCAAGACATTGGACAAGGTAGACCATGAAATACTTTTTGATAGATTGTCCCACTTTGGTATTGGGAGTTCTGATTTACAGTGGCTTGCATCCTATTTAAAAGACCGCCAATCATTTTTCTTTGATAACGGAGCTAGATCGAAAACATTTGTGGTCACATCAGGTATTCCTCAAGGTTCAAACCTTGGTCCACTCTTGTTTTCTATTGTAATGTAATAAAGATGTTATTGATAAGAGACACGTTATTCTTGCTGTCTTTAATTATACTCGCCCTCATTCTACACTTAAAACTAATAAATATTGTCGAAAGGGGGGTAGGGGAAGTCCACATGACACTACACTATACCGGTTGTTTGTGAAACACTCCCGAAAACGAAGACAGATGATAATACTAAGGATACCTTTGATCATAGGTCACAAATAAATTCGATCCCGAGGAAAAAACTCATCTTTTCACAACGTTTTATTAACTTTATTCACGCTCCATCATGTTAGTACAGCTAATTAAAACGATAATTTCATTAAAAAAAACGAAAATACTTAATCATAAAACCAGCAGTGAAACTTAAGATAAAATCAGTTGGCAATAGGGTCAATATTTTCGCGGATGCCGAACTCTTTATCTAGCTCGGTGCGAAACAATGCCTACTCACTCTACCCTTCCCTTTCACACACGCGCTACCGCTGCTCGGCCGGCTCGTGTCGCCTCGCGCTGTGGAATTTACACATGTCAGCTTTGCCAACATGTGGGGAATTCCCAAAATTGCGGGGAATTTAAAGTTGGTTGGAGATTTTATGGGGATTGGTATTATGCAGGAAAATACGGGGATTTTGAAAATCGATAAAGTCAGAACCTATTTTCAAGAAATCTAAATACTTATCTTAACATTTTGTTAATTAACATTAGGTTACTTATGAATATCGAATGACCCCCGTTTTTAATTATCTTCATTGCACCATATTTAATTTTCGGATTTATTTTGGCAACTTGTGTGTATCATTTAATGCTTTTCATTTCTTTATTTTTAATTTTAAGAAAAACAATGTTAGTTAAAAAGTAAATCTTATAAAATTAGTTGAAAGTTTTTTCATTTCTTAAAATAAAATTAAGGGAAATTTGTGGGGAAACTGTTCAAGTTATGTCCTTAAATTGGGGAATTTGACATGTATTTTCGGGGAATTTGACAAATTGGTGTTGGCAACGCTGCCATGTTGCACTGAAATTTAGTTTGCCGGCGACATAAGAATTAGAGGCGGCAATCACAATAAAACTTGCAAGTAATTTTTAATAATGTTGACGGACTTCTTTTTAAATTCAAAGTATTGGTCGGACTAAATACGGAAAGTCAATTAAAATAAAGTAAAAGTATTATTTTTTACATTGATTCTGATAGATTAATTAACTGTCGTTCATAATTGCAATTGATTTTAACTATTTAATTATTCAGTACCATTTCATTTCTATTTTCTTATACAAAATCAAAGATAACGAAGAAATAGTGTTTATAATTGTGTGAGTACTGATTACCCAATTAGGTACGTTTATTAATTTCAGTATAATTTTTGTAGTAAAAAACTGCTTGTTGTGTCAGGGTACAATTGATTGTGTAATTGTATTAAAAATGACAACTACAATTTCTAAATTCCATATGAAGATTAGTCGTAGGGATAAGGGAAAAGGAAGGGAACTAAACTTATAAATTAAATAAACGTTGGCAATGTCGTAACGGTTTCTTGGTCTGTGGAAGTGCTCAGTGCTTCAAGGATAAATGCTTCGTGCGCATTTGTTTTGGCGGGATTGATTATTAATTTTAGTTTTAAGACAGTTCCATGTTGACTGTCACGTGCGCATGAGCGACAGTTCAATCGTTTTGTTTATTAAATTCATGTTGTTATTATTCTTGTTGTAACGTTTTGTGTTCTCGTTTTGTTTTAATAATGCTTAACGCGTAGGTGCGTTTATAGTGCTCGTGAATACGGCAACATGTTAATGTGCGTTGGAGAATGTCATAAGGTCACGGAGGATTTAGATCCGTAAGCTGTTTCATACCTAATTTTTTTTAAATAACTTAATACGGAACTCATTTGAATAGGTACATATCTGAATTATAAACAAATCAAACAAACAATCTAAATAATAACATCAGAATAATAAACATACCTACACGATGGCTAAAAAAGCATGACTCTAATCTTGTTAACATTTCATTTAAGTATTTTTTTTATTAGCGGGGAATCGGACCAGGTATTTGGTTTACTTAACCTGTGAATAAAGTGGCTAGGTGGAGACAAACACAGTGGCAAAATAGTAAGTTAAGTAGATAAGTTAGGTATTTAGACAAGTGTTGTAAATTATGAGATATTATGGTACCATCGCTAGCTGCGGCCCGAGCGAATTCGGCGTCCGGGCGTACATTGACCCCTAGTCATTCATTCATTGTAATTCCACTGTTGGTTTTATGTTTTAGTATTTTCATGATTTTTTTTTTAATGAAATTATCGTTTCATTTAGCTGTACTAACATGATGGAGCGTGAATAAAGTTAATCAAATGTTATGAAAAGATGATTTTTTTCTTCGGGATCGAATTTATTTGTGACCCGTGATCAAAGGTATCCTTAGTACTATCATCTATCTTTGTTTTCGGGAGCGTTTCACAAACACCCGGTAATTATAATAATGTAGTTTATTGCTTTTTAATTTCGAACGAAACGTCAATGATAGCGTATTACTCCAAGAGGACATTGATAGATTGTGTAATTGGTGTAGAGATAATAAAATATTATTGAATGTGAATCAGGTTCACATCATTAATTTCTCTCGTAACGAAGAACCTTATTTATTCCGATATAAAATAAATAACACCCATTTTGAACTGGCTTATTTTATTGGACACCTTAGCGTTATGATTGACAGCAGATTAAGTTTTAATACTCACCTAGATGATATCATAAAAATGTTCTCCAAAATTATGAATTTTATTATGTGGAATTCTAGACAATTTAAGCACCCTAAAACTATTACATTGCTATATAATACATTAATGAGAAGTATCCTGGAATACTGTCCTCAAGACTGGAATAGTCATCTTAGCCTCATTTAATAAAGTCAACATAGAGTCCATTTGCTCCCCGTCGTTTCACTCCCTATGGATTTCCATGTGTGGGATCAAGACAGAATGCTAGTTTACTCTGAAGAAATAACGACTCAAAAACGTTTAACAAAAGATTAATCACTGCACTGAAGTGCGAAATAGGCCCAAAAATGCATTTGGAACCAAGGTTCACATTTCAAACATGAACTTTAAATGTTTATTAACTTGTTTTTAATAATATTAAAAATTATACCACCGCAACTTTTTGTAAAACCGGACTTCGATTTGGTTTAGGTGCTCTAGTACTGAGAAATAAGCAGTTATCTTCATGTGCAATACACCAATAGAAAGTGCATGAGTTCTAGGTGTTTTTAAAAATGTTTAAATGTGTACGTCTACTTTCGTTTCTTTAAACGCGTTAATAAGAAAGTTACTTTAACTTTCCTTTAATTTTTAAATCTTCAGCATGTCTTTTAGTCAATGATGTCATTACAGTTGATGATATTAGTGTTTATCGATTGAATACACATTAAGCTTAAATAAAAACAAGGTTTTATGTACAGATTGTAGCCGGATTCATCGTTATTAAATACCAAATTATTAGGTATTTGTCAAAAATCATAATTTTCACGTCACTAGAAATTAAGGTTACCTGCTCAAAAATGTGTCCCACAAGACGATCTGTCCCCCCTCAAGATTTTACACCGACCTTCCGAACATTCTGTATACTTCGATTATAAATGTATAACACTTTCAAAGAAAAATAGAAACGGCCTCATCAAAATTCCTTTTTTATACGCAGCATCTGCTAGCATACGTACGAGTTCACGACCTGGCAGCAAAGCTTCATCTCGGCCAGGGATGCGAGTGCTTGTCGACTCTATGCGAAGCGAGACACCACGTCCGAAGTCTCCGCACATGAACAATGAGGTAAATTTTTTTGTAGGATAAGAGTGATAAACAAGCACACAGAAAAACTGATGGAAAGTGGAGTGGCCCATAGACATCTACATCTATCCTCGAATAAGTATCAAAATGCAGATGCGTTGTCGCCCCTGAGGTCTTAGATGGAATGCCTCGTTTCCAGTAAAAGGGTCTCCAGTTCTCTACACTCACCATACGAAGCCCAGCAGTATTGAGCAGCCATTTTACGAGTACGCAGGTATTCTGTAAGAGCGAAGTCCTTCCACGGTCGAGCCGACCCATTCGTGCTACAACCATAATATATCTCTAGCGTGGCTCTACCACTTAAAAACATCCAGAGTTTCCATAGATTCCGGGTAAATTAATAGATAATGCTTCTTTTATTATATCTGCCTTTTGATCCTTTTTAGGTGTAAAATCAAGAAACAATAAATAAATAATTACCAAAATAAAACGTAAAATTCAATTGTCATCATTTTCAGGAACCCATAGAACTATCGCACTATCCCTCAGCATATAAGCCTCCGCCTGGGACACAACCAAAGATAGAACGAGATGACTTCCCCGCTCCACCGTACCCCTACACAGATCCAGGTGAGTTCACATTTTTATTAGGTATGTGAAAAATAATCGATTTTCCAGTAGTATTTAACCATAGGTGAACATTCTCGTAACCTACTCCGAGCGTAGTCTTCCCAACAGCTTCTGGTATTTGTGTGACATACACATTATTTTGATTTGAGGTCTTATAATGGATGTAAATGTAATGTCCTCCAGACCGAATTTCGGTCACGGCGGCCAGTCTTAACGAAGAATAACCATCTGCGCAGGACAGGTTAACAATAACCAAACGTATGCGTAACGATAGGTGCACTCTCTATTTCCTCACTCTCATAGTCTAATAAAGAAACGGCCCCCAGTCCCCGGCGGCCCCGCTATTCCTGGCTACGGTGGTGACCATGGTAACGGCGGGGCAGGGGGTGCTAAGAATCTCCGGTGGAGGTTCGGTTGCCACTTTAGACGACTCGACCTGGCAACGTACAACGCACGCACCCTGAGGACTGACGAGAAGATCGTGGAGCTGGAAGAAGAGATAGACAAGTTGCGCTGGCATATTATAGGATTATCCGAAGTCCGAAGAGAGGGGGAGGACACGGTAATCCTCGAATCCGGCAACTTGCTCTATCACCGGGAGGACGACCATCTGTCCCAAGGAGGTGTCGGATTTATCGTCCACAAGTCTCTCGTTAACAACGTTGTAAAGATCGGGAGTGTGTCGACGAGGGTGGCGTACCTTATACTCAAAACCACCAAACGGTATTCGCTGAAGGTCATACAGGTTTACGCACCAACCTCGGCACACCCCGATGAGGAGGTGGAGGAAATGTATGAGGATATCTCTAGAGCCATGCATTCCTCCAAAACCCAATATACGGTGTTAATGGGAGACTTTAATGCAAAACTAGGCACAAGAGAGAACGGTGAGCTGAAAGTAGGGAAATTTGGAATAGGGCAACGGAACCCAAGGGGCCAGCAGCTGGCCGACTTCATGGAGAAAGAGGGACTCTTTATGATGAACTCTTTCTTCCAGAAGCGGCCCCACAGGAAGTGGACCTGGTCGAGCCCCGACGGTTCGACAAAAAATGAGATTGACTTCATTATGACGACCAGACGACAACTGTTCGGTGATGTCTCCGTGATCGCGAGGGTGAAAACTGGTAGCGATCACCGAATGGTTAGAGGCACACTGAACCTAAACGTTAAGTTGGAGAGGTCTCGTCTGATGAAGTCAACGCTCCGTCCCCCTCGTGCTCTAATCCAAAGTCCCGAAACCTTTCAGCTCGAGTTACAAAACCGTTTTCAGTGCCTAGAAGACTGCAATGAAGTGGACGATATGAATGACAAGCTCGTGGAAACTGTCCATGCGGTCGGAGCTAAGTTCTGCAAGACCCGCCGCAGAAGAACACAAAAACTCTCCGATCACACTCTTAATCTCATGGCTGTTAGACGGGAGATGAAGCTACATTCTTCAACAGACTTGACAGCATACAGGCATCTGAACAGACAGATCTCCAAATGCATGCGGCGGGACTTGCGCAACTTCAATACAGCTCGTATTGAAGAAGCGATCGAGCGGAACCAGGGCTCCAAAGTCTTTGCCAGAGATCTGTCTGCCAGAAAGAGCCAACTGTCAAAGCTGAAGACAGAATGTGGCAGCATCGTTTCCGGGACACCTGAGATCTTGAGTGAGATTGAGAGGTTCTATGGGCAGTTGTACACGTCATCGTTGGAGCTACACGCAAGTGTGAGTAACGATCCAAGAGCGAGTCTCATCCGACACTATTCTGAAGATATCCCGGACGTCAGTCTGAGCGAGATTAGAATGGCTCTCCAGCACCTTAAAAACGGTAAGGCCCCAGGCGAGGATGGAATTACAGCGGAGCTTCTGAAAGCGGGTGGAAAACCGGTACTTGAAGTCCTTCAGAAGCTCTTTAATTCCGTCCTCCATGGTGGCATTACACCGGAGGCGTGGAGCAGAAGTGCGGTGGTCTTGTTCTTCAAGAAAGGTGACAACGCTCTCTTGAAGAACTACAGACCGATTTCCCTTCTGAGCTGCGTCTACGTGCTGTTTTCGAGAGTCATTACGAATCGTCTCGCGCGCAGACTTACGACTTCCAGCCTCCCGAACAAGCCGGTTTCCGAAAGGGCTTTAGCACCATAGACCACATACATACCCTTCGGCAAATTGTACAGAAGTCCGAAGAGTACAATTTGCCACTATGTCTGGCGTATGTGGACTATGAGAAAGCCTTTGATTCCGTCGAAATTTGGGCGGTGCTGCAGTCCCTTCAGCGGTACCAAGTTGACTGTCGGTATATCGAAGTGTTGAAGTGCTTGTACAGTAGGGCTACGATGGCTATCCGAGTACAGAACCAGAGTACGAAACCTATCCAATTGCAGAGAGGTGTAAGACAGGGTGACGTCATATCCCCGAAACTTTTCACCGCTGCATTGGAAGACGTTTTCAAGCTTCTGGACTGGAAAGGATACGGTATCAACATCAATAGCGAGTACATCACTCACCTTCGATTTGCCGACGATATAGTCCTTGTGGCAGAATCGCTGGAGGACCTAAGCACTATGCTCAATGACCTCAATAGTGTTTCCCAACGGATAGGTCTTAAGATGAACATGGACAAAACTAAGATCATGTTTAATGGCCATGTCACACCTATGCCGGTAGTTGTTGGGAACACTAAGCTCGAAGTTGTTGACGAGTATGTTTACCTGGGACAAATAGTCCGACTAGGTAAGTCCAACTTCGACCGAGAGGTCAATCGACGGATTCAACTCGGTTGGGCAGCGTTCGGGAAATTACGGCACATCTTCTCGTCAGGTATACCTCAAACCTTGAAAACGAGACTGTACACCCAGTGCGTGTTGCCAGTGATGACATACGGAACTGAGACGTGGTCCTTCACTGCTGGCCGGATGAGGAAGCTCAAGGTCGCTCAGCGAGCTATGGAAAGGTCTATGCTCGGAGTTTCTCTGCGTGATAAACTTAGGAATGAGGATATCCGCAGTAGAACCAGAGTAACCGACATAGCCCAACGGATTAGTAAGCTGACGTGGCAATGGGCCGGCCATATAGCTCGAAGAACCGACAACCGATGGGGAAGAAAGGTTCTCGAGTGGCAGCCTCGTACCGGTAGGCGAAGTGTAGGGCGTCCCCCCACGAGATGGAGTGACGACCTGGTAAGACATGCAGGAAGTCGATGGATGCAGGTGGCTCAGGACCGTGCTTTGTGGCATTCTTTGGGGGAGGCCTATGTTCAGCAGTGGACTTGTGAAGGGCTGTAATGATGATGATGATGATGATAGTCTAATAAAAAAGTATACCGACACGACTGAAGAGAGATCAGGCGCAGGACTAAGGTGAAAACACTGCCATCTTCCTGACTCCGGGTTGCTACTGGGAATTTCTTGACAGAAAAACTCAGTATAACTGATATTGGCCCGACCTGGGATTTGAACCCAGGACTTCATGAGCAGCAGCCACGTGTACGACCACTAAACGAAGGAGGCAGTAAAGGCATAGTGGACGTAAGTAAAATTATATCAGCAATTGTTCTGCTTTTTTATCAGAGCGAAGGAGACGACGGTCAGAAACGTTCAAAGGCGTAACCGATAGTGATGAGGAAGATGGGAAACCCAACGGAGAGGTTAATGGCGTCGACAACAAACTGCGCCGCGAGGAACTCGAGCTGGCCAAGATCGAGAGTGGCATCGCACAGGTTTGACATTTTAACCCTATTGCAAACAACATAAGTAGATCGTATCGATCGTAGATCAATTTTTAACGTGTGCTTAGTTTAAAATTTCCATACCACAGCTAAAAGAGCTAACGGTTGTGAAACAACTTTGATTTCAGACGATGCAGCCGCCCGCGTAGTTATTTACGGGAACGGCGTGCACGTTAAAGGATTGTGACGAAATTAAGAATATTATAGGGAGAGAATATTTGGATATCATATTACTCATTATCATTTATTAAAATTATGCTTTTAACTTATATGTATGTACACTTATAAGTTAAAAGCATTTATTGAACGAGATCATTTTTATTACTACCAGAAAAATTATATTTACGCGTGTTGCACTGCCAAATATTTTCGTGACACTTTCTTTTTGCAGATGTTTTCAGTTTTAGATTGTTAAATTTAATTATGTAGTGCATACGCGTTCGGATAACCAATTATATCAAAAAAAGAAAATGAGGGAAAACATAAGCATGGCCGTCATTCTCATATAACGGTAACAGTAATCCACCATTATAGATATTATATTTTTCGAAAACGGCACTTCGAATTAGTTAAATAAGTAGTATGAAATATGGTCGCGCCAACCGCATGTATTGTCTATCAGACTGAATGCAGTGCGCCGACACAAGGTCGCCCCCCACCCCCGCCCCGCAAGTGCATTAGTTTCCCAACTATTAAACTGTCTTTACACTGTGCCTATATTAAAGTTTTGCTTTATTATTTAATTTATAGCTACTTTTATCGTTGGTAAACGTTTGTTTTGCGTTTTCAAAGAACTTAAAAGAAGTCAAATCGAAAGTTGGAAGAGACTTTATAATAATGCAATCTCAATGTTATAAAATAAACAAAATATTATATTTTGATTAAGACAAAAGTAATAAGAAGAAAATATAACCTAAACAAATACAGTTTTTTGAAGTAAAAATATTTCGAGTTCTTTCCTTTTTTTAATATTATCTCACAATTTCAATACGTATATTTTCCAGGTATTTTTAAAAGAAGTGAAAGAACGCGAAAAACTACAACAATGGAAGAAACAGAACTTAGATCCCAGAAATGCGAGCAGGTAAATATGAATTATTATTGAAATATATTAGAATAATCTTTCACGTCAGTCCATTACGTTAAGAAATAGATGTCAGTAGCGTATTAATTGTAGGTCGTGCATAATTAATGTCACAACCGGCAATTATATAAAACACTGTCATATAAATTACTCATATATGTCTGAAACGATGAACTGAATGACTAATCATCATTCAGGTCATTGTTATGAATATAATATTAAACGAAATAATATTTAGGAAATGCAAAAGGATAATAGTAGGCAAAACAGTAGTACATTACCGATCGGCACAGGAACCAGACAAACAGTTAGTCGCACTTCTCCACTACATAATTTTTCGGCGCGAGATCACACGTTTATTCACAAATAAAATGTTGAGTATAAGGCCGTGGTGCGCAGTATATTTTTCGTCCAACGTTCATTATAGGTGGGGAATAGGATTGCAAGGAGCAGGCTACGCGGGGAGAAGAAGCATGCAATCGTCCGTATGTAAATTATTGCAAAAGGCTAGACAGTCATAATCATACAGTCATAATACCAGTGACTAATATTCATTAAGTCGTATAAGTCACGTGAGCAGCGCGTTTATGTGACTTAATTGTAAGCCATAATAAACTTTTTGATTAATGGTTATGTATTCGATGGATGTGTGTTTGTTACTTATATTTCTTGCAAATGAATACAAATATATATTAAATCAATTTTTTTTATAGGATAGGGTGACAAACGAGCACACAGTCCACCTGATGGTAAACGGTTGCTGTGGCTCATAGACATCCACATCTATCCTCGATTGCGAATTAAAATGCAGATGCGTTGTCACCCGTGAGTACTAAAATGGAATGTCTCTTTTCCAGAAAAATGGTCTCCTTTTCTCTACACGCACCATACGAAACACAGCAGTGTTAAGCTGCTATTTTACGCTGGTATTGTGTGTGAGCGTAGTCCTTCCCCGGTTGAACCGACCCATTCGTGCTACAATGATAGTACTAATATAGCTGCAGCATGGCTCTACCACGTATAATTTAAATGACCCTTCCGACCAAACAATTTAATAAGTCTATAAAAGTAACTTATGGAATGTTAAGTCATATAACCAAACTCGAGAGAACGTATTATATTAATTTATTCAAATTGAATAGTTTAAATTTAGATATAACTAGCTGGCCAGGTAGACGTTGTTCTGCTTTTTCCGATGACTCTTTGTTCTATAAAAAATCCGTCAATTCGCAAGAAAAAAATTTTAGGGTCACATATTGGGATAAAAACTATCATATCTCTCAAGTTGGACCAAAGTGCACTCAGTGTGCAACATTTCATTGAAATCAGTTCAATAGTTTAGGAGTTCCTCGCGGACAAACAATGTGACACGTAATTTTTATACATAAAGATTAGTGAAATTGACACTGCCGGTGACATCAGTTGTGTAATCGCAAATGATCTTGCATGCTTAAGAAACGATACTGGTTTTAAAAATTTAGGTAGTAATTCATTGAATATCATAACAGTTAACATTCGTAGCATTCAATGTCTCGTAGAAACATTCTTAATATTCTTAGCTGAACTTGAAATTCAGAAAATTGACTGTTGGATTAACGAAAACACGGCTATCCCTATAATTTATAATTATACCTCATTTAGTACTAAAACACAAATAAATTACTTCATAAAAACCAATTTGGTTTTACAAGGGGTCGCTCGACGTCTGACGCGGGTGTTAAGCTTATAAAATATATTTTTAATGCCTGGGAGAATTAACAAGCCTTAGGTATTTTCTGTGATCTTATATTTAAGTAACAGAACTTAAAAAGTCGTGATCAAATGGTCGTGTTAAAGGTTCCTCCGGATCGGTAGTATCAATGGGCGTTCCTCAGGGCTCAATTCTTGTCCCATTCCTGTTCTTAATCTATATTAATGACTTACCTTATCTTGTATGGGTTAATCACGATATAGTATTATTTGCTGACGATACCTTTATAATTTTCAAACTCAAACGGCAGTCAATTAATTATAACGATGTATATGTAGGAAGTATAGTGGGTATAGTACAGAGACTGATTTTGTAGTTAGGAATAATAATTAATTCGTTTACATGAATTAATTATCCAACGAGTCGAGGATAAACTAGTAACGGAATACGACAAGCGCACCGTTCCACGTCAGAGCCAGGACTGTCCTAACGGCGGCAGCTCCGTCCGTTTTATACAAGCTAAACGGGCGCCACCGCAGGTGCAATGGTGCAGGTGTGCGGAGCACGTGTTATTTACAAGAATTCTGTCTAGCTACACCGACGCCACCGCACGTGCAATGGTGCACGTGCCGTCATATATAATGCTCTTAAACGGCAATAAGACAAAATGTATTAAATTTACAATACCTAATGTAAAACATTCGAATACCAATGTGCTCTTAAATGGGGAGGAGTTGAGTCTTGTTGATACTACTGTTTTTCTTGGTATTACTATTGACGCGAAACTTCAATGGGGCCTCCATATATCTAAATTAGAAAGCAGACTTAGTTCTACAGCATATGCTGTAAGAAAGATTAGAAGTCTCACAGATGTTGAGACAGCTAGATTAGAGTATTTTAATTACTTTCGTAGCGTTAATGCTCTATGGAATTTTGCTATGACGTAATGCGACTGATATTGGCATCGCAATATATTTATGAAAATCTAATGTATGTGACGACACCTGCACCGTTGTAGGTGCGGTGGCGTCGGTCTGGCTAGACAGAATTCTTGTAAACGACACGTGTACCGCACACCTGCGGCATTGCACCTGCGTTGCCGCCCGTCCTGCTTGTATAAAACGGACTGAGCGGCCGCCGTTAGACAGTCTTGGCTCTGACGTGGAACGGTGCGCATGTCGTATTGCGTTACTAGTTTATCCTCGAATCGTTGGATAATTAATTCGTGTAAACGAATTAATTATTATTCCTAACTACAAAATCAGTCTCTGTACTATACTCAACTATACTTCCTACATCAGAAGTGGAATAAAGTCCCCCTTATTGCCCACATATAATCTTCGAATAGTATGAGAATTATTACATTTGTAAAGGCTATAATGCATTTCGCATTGATGGATCTCTTTTTATGTTAAATACCGTAATAAAATTTGCTGTCCTACTTACGTTATTGTCGTATCATTAAAGTGTAGAGAAAAGATAAAGTGAAATTATTTAAGCCAAAAGATAAATCCTTTTGTTCGATTTGTATTAAAAGTACCCTCAAGTATTTTCATTATTTCTGACGTACCTAAATATGTTAACAAATGAAAGAAATGTCTGAGGCTTTCTAGACAAGTCATACTCGTAGTTTGCATTGAATGAAAAATTAACTTGTTCAAGTTTTGTTGTAATTTGATAGTTCATGCGAAACATGATTATCATCTGTTATATTTTGAAATTCAAAACGTTTAAGCGATGTACCAAGATAAAGGATTAACTTTAACATGCTAGGAATTGAAAATAATAAGTGACATTTTTGTGTTCTAATGTGTTGATCAGTGTTGCAGTTTGCTCCGAATACTGTGTGGTCGACAAGATTGGGGTTTGATGTCGAGAGATTCGTAGAAGTCTCTACAACAATGATCAATGAGGAAATTGTTGTGACGGCTAATCGAACATGGTCAGGAACGGCCGAGCGCTAGTAAAATTGAGCCTACACCGCTACAGTCGGTAACTTATCGGCTGATCTTACGGCAAGGCAATTCAAGCGGCCGCCGAACAAATGGTGCTTTGGCGCTGTAAATGGACGTCTGAGGCTTGGACGGCTTTCGTAGATTTTGCGAGGTTGCCTCCTTCCCTTTGAAATATGTGATGGTATCCGTCCCTACACATAGTTCCCGTTTTTTGAAATGTTTTCAAATGTCATACAGTTGCCGTTTCTTAAGAGAATATGTGATGAATTTTGGAAGCTCGGAATTCCATGGTTCGCAATACATTTATCTCGATTTCTTTTAATTTTGCAAAGCAGTGCGACGATTCGCTAGCGCTAGTACGGCGCGACTGCTTGCTGGCGCGAATGTGGCACGAACGCAGCAGAACGAAAAGCTGTAGTGCGTTTGTCCGGAGGTAGCCATATCGGCGCGTTCCAGACTTAAATGAAGTTTGGGATGTTCGACCGTTGTAATATTTAACAAGAGTTAATATCTGTTAGCAGGTGGTGATAACTGATAGACCGTATGCTGTTCACTGTCAACTGCACGAGGACGTGCGATAGTCAGAGGTAGCAGTGTCTGTGCATCTAGAAAATACTAGAGACGTTGCAATACTCTAGCGAAGTAATTATTCTAGTGCAGGAAAGGAACATGAAGTTGCAGGGAGGCTGGTCTGTGCTGCACTGGGATATGTGTCGAGTTGCTGTTGGTTTACATACTTAGGTGTTATCGTGTCACTACGCCCCTCACGATACACTTTTGTGTGATTGTAACGGGGACATGTTTGCGGTATGGTTGGTCTGTAACTGTTCTATACTGAATTGAAAAAAAAAGAGAGTAAGAAAAAAAATGTGGTTCTTACTATCATTGCAGGGCGTTTGCCGGTCCAATGATATAGCTAAAGGGAATAGTGATTCCGGACTAGCATAAATAGTACTTGAAAAAAAAGCGTAAGAAAAAAAATAGTTCTTACTATCGTTGCAGGGCTTTGTGCCGGTCCAATGATATGGCTATAGGGAATAGTTATTCCGGACTAGCGAAAACAGTACTTGAAAAAAAAAAGAGAAAATAGAAAAAAGCTACAGACTAATCATTCCGATCAAACATAAAGATGATTAAAGTTTTATAGGGCTTACTGCCGGAACAAAACAGACTGTTACCCAAGTCTGAAGGTCAATATAGACCGGACCAGACGCTGTTATGTCAGGATAGTCGAACGATGTTTTTTTGTCTACAGATAACTAAAATTGTGAAGGAGCGCGTGCGAGGACGCACGCATGTCAGT